ACAGCTACCTTGACGCCCTTCAGTCACAAGGAGCTAATTGAATATTTGTTCCGCCTGCGAAATCATCGACCTAGAATATAATAACAGGTAAATTTTATCAGTACGGGTGCAATATCAATCTATAATACTGTGCCCTGAGTGACCAACCAAGATACTTGCCATCAAAGATTATTCCAGGGACCGTAAGTACATGTTAGGCGCCCGGCAATGATGATAATGCTAAGCGTCTATGAGGATCCGATGAGTTGGAACCAGAAACAAAAACGACAATTGTCTTGATGGCCGACACTTGATACCCTTCTTGCCTTCGCCCTAGAGCGCTGCAGCCCTCTCACTGATTCACCAGATATCTAAGGACAAGACGTCAATTGACTGGTAAGTTGAGGCTTGGAAATAACTCCATGCAATGAATTGTGATGTATCCATATGTAGAGTTCTGTAGCAGATATGAACGGGGTGGGTGGGTGTTTTAATGAGTTTTCACGTGTCGGAGGCAGCTTGCAAAGAGATTTGGGGTTTTGTATCTTGAGCTCCTTAGGATGTACGGAAAGGAAAAGCTTTGGATGCTTTCAGGCTACTGAGATTTGCCTCGTAATGCCATTCAGTGTTTATCAGTATAGATACAGCGGTAGTTAAGTGATACAAATAGCCGACCAGAAAATTTGCCGTCATGAGCGTAAAGTTGATTTTAACGATTCTTCTGTTTGAACCGTCCAAGTCTCAATCTCATCTTGAGGCAATTCTTTCCATTTTTCATAGACCTGGTTCACAATTGTCAAGTTAAAGGGTATGGGCATCCATATGCGTTACTCACGATGTCAAGTGTATCCAGTACTTCCAGCACATGTTCATTAGCGTCATCAGTTGCCTTCACATTATCCTGCAACTCTGATTCTAGTTGGCGATTTTCAGTTTCGAGCTAAGAAAGAATAAGATACTGCACTGCATTTCGAGGGCAAGGAATAATAATGTACTTCAGCAATTAATTTTTGCAGTCTTCTTGCCTCTGAATTGAGAACCGGGACGGTACGCGCGCAAACTGCGACTTTGGGATCAAGGTTGTCTTTCCAGGTGTCCTTTCCATCCTCTCCCCGTGATTTCCTTTCTTTTGCATCATTGACGACTTTGTGAAGTATGTCTATACTTTCTTGGATGTTATAATCATTGAATAACTTGTCGAGATCTCGCTGGGGCGCGTCAACATAAATCATGGCAAGGGATATATCTTCGAAAGCATACAAAGTTTTGAGCTTCAATGTACTCGGATATGCTATTGAATGTTGCAGAGGACCCGTTCTTGTCGGATTCCACGTATAAAGGAAAGCATTCAGAGAAGTCCTCGAATCTGATGCCACAGGATGAGTAAGGATTGTAGCATGATGTGTTATGAGCACGTACGTCCAATTGTGAGATGAGCGTTGGATCGCCAACTGAAGTGCAGAGTGAAAGTGAGTCCAACGCCTACTGCCTGATTGGTTACTAAACATGTCAAGAGAGTTACGGCGTTTGTTTATGCGAATTTGTATGGGGACGCGTTGGCAGATATGTGAATGTCAAGACTGAAGAGTCGCGTCGCGGCAACGCGTCCGAAACGACCATGAACAAGGCGTGTGATTTAATATCACGTGATATGATGAGCATGCTGCGGCGGCGACACGCGCTGGTAAGCGGTTAACTACTCTCAGCGTTCCAGGCTTGCCTTGAGCGCTGAACCTCTATGGACGCCAATGCGCGCGATGAAGAGGCGGGTCCACCGACAAATCCGCCAGATCAACGGCCTCTGAATCGGAGCTCGCTTCCCTCATTTCTCTTCATAAGTTTCATGCTGTTCATGCTCACGAGCCACAACGGAGACGAATTCTTAGCCAGACATCAGTATCAGGATGCGCTACAGGAATTGACATATCAACACGCGAACTTCACTGCTTGGATGAATGGGACTGAGTCAAACTTCACATTGGTACGCTCTACTTAACGCCGAATTTGGTCGTTTATTCAGGTGTATCGTGCAGCCGGAATCCGACCCGTCAGTCAGACCTCTGCTGGACGCCCTGCATATCCAAGGAAATGTCCTGGATTCAGATTTTGAATCATATTATTCTAATGTCACTGGTTTCATCCATGGAGATGCGATGTTCAGCAATATCACACTTTCGTCTCTGGAATCAAATGAATCCTCAGTAAGGTGGAAGCACGAAGCCGAAACCCTGATGAGTGGAGTAAATACTACCAACATGACGGGAAAGCTGGGCTCTTGGAATTGGGATTCCTCCACCAAGGTGGCTCTCAGTGTCCTAGAGAAGAGCTCCCCCGGGATTGATTCATCGTTATTTCCCAGTGGACCAATTGTTTTGATTCATGTAAGCTCAATATTTCTAACACTACGAATCGATCTTAATTAATGCGCCAATATATCAGGGAAGGATAGAATTGACTGATTCGTCAGAGGAGGATCTCCGACTCGAATTCGAAGGCATTCATTTTGTTGCTAATGGGTCAATCTATGGCTTCGCAGAGGTCGCGAGGTATGACTTCACCACTGTACCTTTCTATCGTATTTGTTCACTCTATTTAGGCATATCGATATTCGTATGCTGCCGTCGCTCGTTCCAGAGCATGTCAGAAATGAAACGGCTCGAGCGATTGAGCCGGAAATTCAAGCTCGAATAAACAAGCTCAAAAGCCTTATTGACGCAGGAATAATCGATTCTGAATCTTCAGGAAACGGTGTGTTATAATACATACTCTCAGCCGAAGTTGAAGGATCTCATGGAACTCTAGACGAGGAACCAAAGACTACTTGTCCCTTCACATTACATGCACAAATTCACCCATCTCACATACCGGAATACCTTATGCAAGAGTTAGAAAGTGAAATTCAAAAACCAACAGGCATTTCCACTGTCGCTCCTCCGAAGTTGTCTATATCTGGGGTTTTGTTAAGCAAGGAGTGTGGAATCATGTATGAGCTGAAAAATACCGAAGGCCTCAGGTATATACGGGCGCGGTATACGAATTTATCCAGCTAATCATCATCCTTAGGTCGCGCATGTTCTTTCGAAAAGTGACTACCTGTTAGTCATTATATTTTTGTACGATATCTGCACTGTTGACAATAATCTTCTCGTCTAGACGCTGGGCTTTCAACTCTTGCATATCTAACGATTCTCGTCCTATTCATGAGACAAGGGGAGCGAAGTCGTACCCCGTCGGGCATATCCCGCGTATCATGTTTCACCTTCCTGGCACAAGCTACCATGGACTCTGTTTCTTTTGCTGGTCACATAACTTTTGCCATTCTGGCAGAAGGTAGACCGTCCATTTCACTGATAGCTCCTGCTTTTCTTGCTTGCGTTGTATTTCTCCACGAAGCAGTGAGTATCATTTTTACCAACCACAAATTTACTCCAATTGAAACAATTTTGCTAGCAATTTGCCGCACTCATCCACCAAATTCAAGCACCGGAAGACTATGTACCACCTCCGCCACCTGTTGCGTCACCCTCTCCTTCGCCACGGACCCCCACCAATGATTCGACGCAAGAACCTCTTTTACCATTACATTCTCCGTTACCTGTACAAGTACCTATCCTCAACACTACTCCCACAACAGCTACAACTACGATCTTTCAGGCTGCTAACAACAACGCCCCAATGTCATTTTTGGCATTTTTTATCCACCATGTCCGCACAGACCCTCAAGCAAGATTGTGTAGGGACCAAATATTTTTCATCAAAGACCCCTCTCACACATCTGATAACAGGGCTTGGATTGGTTATCTTTCTGACGCTTATAGTCCGCGTCATACTTTCACCCTTACTTTCCGTCCTGTTTGTCGCTTTCACCTACTCTTCTATATGGCTCCCTCAGATTGTGAGATCTGTTCGTCGTGGCCGCAGTAGTGGTCTATCAAAAGAATATGTTCTTGGAACCACAATATGTCGACTCTTCAATGCACTTTGTGAGATATCCCGCTCTTTTATCCGTTCAAATCCAAGCTGATAAAAATTCATAGATTTCCTAGCATGCCCTAAAAATGTTTTAGAAGTAGAGCCTCGTTGTAAGCACTATAAGTTGATCTAATAGCGTACACTTACAGATGCAAACTTCAGCCTGGGTCTGGGTACTTGCAGCATTTGTAATTCTTCAAGCTTTCGTAGTCCTAGCACAAGATAGCCTTGGCCCAACTTTCTTCTTGCCGAAACAAGTCAGTCTCGTTTGAACTAGCTTTTACACCAGAAGCATACTGATTTTCATTTAGTATTCTCACCCTAAATTGTACGACTATCATCCGCCAATGCCTTTGCCTGACCCCGAGTCACCCGAACCATCGTTGGGGGACTGTGCGATCTGCATGGACGCCATTCTAGTTGACTCTTTGCTACGTCCTCGCAGCAAATCGTTTGATCTACGAGACGCACACGATGAAATCGGAACGGGGCTTTCAAATGCGAAGAAAGGTAAAAGTGTCAGTGACATGCTGAGTGCCATGCAAATGGGTGTTGGTGCCGCACATGCCAGAAAGAACTACAGTCTAGCACCCTGCTCTCATCTTTTCGTGAGTTTACTTTCACAATATATCTACCAATGACCCGTGTATTGATGCCTGCCAATAAAGCACACGGAATGCTTGGAAAAGGTTCGTCGTTTGCTCGGTGAATGTACCACACATCTCACTGATACATGCCTTTAAATTATAGTGGCTAGCTATCAAGGTACGCGTCTGCTTGGCCTGTAAAATCTTCAGAACTGACTCTTACGCTTTGAAGAACATATGTCCTCAATGTCGGAGGCCATTACCTCCTCTATGATCTGGACGTCACACTGGACAACTACTACATACACCTAATATTTATACTACGGATTAATATGTACAACGATTGACTTCACCTACCAACATCTCATAAATAAAGCATGCTTGGTTTAGTTGGCGGAAGGTGCATAAAATTCAAATTCCAAAACCTATAATGTATTTAGTCAACCGGCTGCTAATGCAAGATCTTTGTTAGTATATCGGTTAGTACACGCGCTTGTCATATTCAATGTCCGCGCGAAAGCTGGGTTCGATTCCCAGACAGAGAGTTTATTTTTCTTTCACAATTTTTTTACAAGTTGTCAGTATTTGGCTTTGTCAGTCCTGGAAGGCATTGGCTTTCCGTATGCCACTTGGCGCGTCGCGACTCAACTGTATCCAAACTGGGTCGCCAATCTTTGTACAACATCAACTTCGTGAGTGCTATCAATTATTCTCAAAAGTTTGCTGCCTCCTGAGTTATGCCATTTTGAATTGTGCAGAGAGATGCGTCCGACAAAAGCCTGTCTTGTACGGGTGGTTCCGCGCAAACTGCTAAATGTCAGCGATTCAAAAATTTATATGCGACCCCGTACACAAACCGAGGAGAAGAAAGAACCAACGCTTATGGATACCCTTTTCGCGCAACGCGGGGAAGCCGGAGAGTCATGGCCTGCCAACATCCGCCTGGAACCTCAGCTGAAGAAGATAGTATTCAAAGGGGTGCAACCCAAGCTACGGACAGCTCTGAAGGCGATGACGAAGGAGCGCTGAAACAGAGACAGCTGCTTTTGCAGGAGTTTGTCATGTTTCATTCGCCACCAGACATTTCGATTCACCCAGGTGGAAGAAACTTGGTCCTGGAGGCTCGGGGTGGATAGGGTGGGATGCAACGCGCTTCCGGGGCCCATACCCACGGTTTGGGGCGCCTGTGGCTTTCTGTGCGTCGTATCGAACGTTTGTTATCTGATGTATAGCCTATCTGCCAATGGAGACTTGCCTTCAACTGCACGACAACTGCGCAATTTCTCGCGGTGGGTCTCGCTCGCGGTCCCGGCAGTTCAAGTGGGCCTTAGAGACGGAGTGCCTCGTCAGATGACCACTGAGGCTATTTCAGAGTATCCTGATCATTTATGAAATTGCCAGTATCCACACCACAGGCTGCACACTTGCAGCTCCCTTCCTCATTGCTTCATGGACAGCGACATGGGCTCTCTCTGCAGCCGTCCCGACCCCCCTGCGCCGTCGCCCACTGAACCCAAGCCCGTCGAGAAAATCACGGCCGACGGCTTGCCAGGCGTTAAGCATGAAACTGTCGCGATGGCGCTCTCGGCCCTCGTTAAGCACTCTGCCGACAGCCCGAATGTGACGCACCACATCCTCGCGCCGATGAGCGCCGTTGGGCAGCTGAGCTGGGTGCACAAACTTATCCCTGGTATCGAGCGCATCGCGGTTGAATACCACTGCGGGAATTACGTCGTCGTGCGCGGGTCGAGCGAGCCGTTCTTCGAGTCCATGCCGCTCTACGCCCGGTGAGTGGGCTCCGCAGATTGTGCAATGCATGACGTGACTGGCGTGGGCAGCATAGGGATGCATCTCCTCTTTTACGGCAAGGAGCAGATCAAGCTGCTTGGGAATAAACATGTGGACGAGCTGCTGCGCGAGGAATCTGTCAAGGTTTGTGATGCGCCCGTACATATGGAGTGGGATCTGACATGATTGCTTATTTTAGCAAGGGGCCATCTATGATGACCCAAAGTCGGCGGCAGCCATTCCCCATTTCGTGCAGGCGTATTCAATACAGATAGACGAGCTTTTGGAGTCGGATATCACGAAATACAGAAATTTCAATGAATTTTTCTTCAGGTGCGCGCCTGCTTACATCTTCTAGGTCGGTCCTAATGTTTGGTGATCGACCATGTTAGGAAGCTGAAGCCGGATGCACGCCCCGTTGAGAACGCGAGCGACGAGAAAGGTGTATGTAGTTCAGCAGACTGTAGATTGACTGTGTACACGTCGGTTGATATGGCTAAGGCATTCTGGTGAGCACATTGGGTATTAACAATGTTAGTTCAGCCTATTCATTCATCTACCATTTTTTCAAGGGTTAAGGGACAGAATTTCAACATCCCAAACCTGCTTAACATCTCGACTGATTCACCTATACTTAAATCCTTCAAAGACGCGAGCCTCGCAATTTTCCGCCTCGCGCCAGCAGACTACCATCGTTTCCATAGCCCGGTCGACTGCGAAGTTGGCGATGTAGAGAATGTGGAGGGCAACTTTTACACCGGTAAGCAGATGTTTTGACTTCAGGAATGATATCTCACCGTGTGGTGGCACCCGCGTTGCTTAGTGAATCCCCAGGCCGTCAATGAACCAGGCTTCGATGTGCTCACCGCTAACACCCGGTCGATCCTCTACTTGAAGCACAGGCCGACGGGCCAGCTCGTTGCGTTCGTCGCAATTGGAGCGCTGCTAGTGGGGAGCATCCAGTGGACGGGGGGAAAGCAGAAGGGCACGATCTTGAAGAGGGGTGATGAACTCGGGTATGCGGCCCTTTCTTCGTCAGTATCCTTGCGCTGATCATCTCCTTACGTAGATATTTCGCGTACGGGGGAAGTACGATCGTCGTCGTGTTCCCAAAGGATGTCGTTGAGTAAGTATATCCGTTGTTCAGTCTGTAAAAGCTAACAATGTTGCGTTATAGGTTTGATGAAGATCTAGTTTCGAATTCGCAGAAGCCTATCGAGACACTTGTCAAGGTGCGTTGTTTGCCTCGGCCGTGGGCCTTGAGGGGTTATCATGTTGATGCACTATGGATTAGGTTGGGTACTCTATTGGGAAGGTCCCAGAGAAGAAATCTGGACGTTGGTTTTCTTAATGCATCTGAAGTCGCAGTAGAGTGTTGCGGATCGATAGGACGCTTGAACAGTAGTAGCGGTAACGGACAGTTGTCGGTCTAGGAGCCAGAATTTGTTGCATGACGTTGCGGGTATAAATACCTGTATGGTGTTGAGTAGGGAATAGATTGCAAGGCGTGGTACACATCTGTGGTCGGCGAGGTTATCTTCCGTGCGACGAGTATAAGTGTATAAGCAAAGTGCATAGATGCCGCTCAGAATCGCGGGCTGGAACCAATTGTATCGCGTCGGAAGTTTGTGCACGACGATTGTGTTGGTGGGTGTGGTAGCATAACAGACGAAAACTAAGTTTGTCGGCGGTGGAGTTGCACGCGGCGCCTGCTCTTTCCGCCACTCCGTCATGGACAAACCGCTGGGTCCCCGCCAACCGCCTCCAGATAAGCGTCATGCCGCTTATGAGTCGATATTCGGACGGCCAGGACCCCCACTACAGGCCCAGCAGATCCACCATCCGCCTTACCAACCGCCGCTTTATCCTCAGCAGCCCCGCAGCTCCTACTATCCGCCCCCAAATCCCTCCCCGTATCCTTCCTTTCCCCCGACATTTGTTCCACCCCATAATCCTTCACTGGACAGAGGCCGATCTATCAACGGCCCCGCACTCACGCCTGCGCAGGCGTACCAGGCCCAGGTGTACATGAATGTCCCCGCACAGAACCATTGGGGGCCCTCTCCTCCCCCATCTGTAGACCGTCCAACAATCGGAATAAGCTTAGAGCACGATGACGGCCGATTGGGAATCGACTTTACGGCGTCCAGTGTGAGTACCTCGAGCGATCTAGGCACGGATGAGGGCAGCAGCGAACTTCCTTGGACACGCTCAGAACCTGCCCGTATGTTATTGTCTTTATATCACGCTTCCGTGTCTTATTCAGTTTAGTGGCCAACAATCGTCACTTGGCTCCATCTCGCCAGCATCAACGACATTTGGAACCAATACCTGCTGTGTGTTACATCTTTCGTTCATTTCATTCATCCTCATCTCCCAATGCAGGTGCTGCCTCTACATGTTGACACCTTAGGTGCTCGTTCTTCCGTTTTCAGTTCATCTCCGTCTCCTTCATCCAACGCGGACCACTCTTCATCGGCTGCGTCAACCACCCTGGTTGACCATACCGCCGCTCGCCGCTCTTCTGACTCTTCGCGCACCGTTCCCCCAAAGTTTCCTATGAATTCCCAGCGACGCGACCGCACCGCCCAGGATCGCTCCATGTCTATGTCTGCTGCCCAGCAGAAGCGCACCTCTCGCCCTATTGCTGAAGGCCGTATCTCTCCAACTTCCCTCCGCAGCGGACCCGTACGCAAGACGCCCATTGTATACCCTGCCCTACTCTCGCGGGTTGCACAAGCTTTCCACGAGCGCATCCCCATCACCGATCGCATCAAGGACGGCCTCACATACAAAGATGCTTTCGACGGCCGCGAGGCGGTCGACAAGATTGCGTATATTATCAAGACCACCGACAGGAATCTCGCGTTGCTGCTTGGCCGCGCACTGGACGCGCAAAAATTCTTTCACGACGTTACTTATGACCATAGGCTACGGGATAGCGCAAATGAATTGTATCAGTTTAGGACAAGACTACCGAGTCCGTTTGTGAGTGGCGAGTTGGGCCAGGAGCAGGGGACAGACTCACATGCATTCTTTGAGGTGTGTATTTTATTTCACTATAAACTATACTTGACGTCGTATCTAAGGGAGGGACCCCTGATGCGACACCAGGAGGGGTCTCACCCACGACAGTAGGTATATCGCCTACACCGTCACCCGCACCACCAATGCGGCAGCGAAGAGACTCTATGTCTTCGGATGAAATCACGCTGCCGTCAGGCGTGTTCACGCTGCTCACCGACTGCTACTCGCCCACATGTTCGCGGGACCAACTGTGCTATAGCATTGCATGTCCACGACGGCTTGAGCAAGCGGCACGGTTGAACATGAAACCGCAACCAGGGCTGTCCAAACAGATCAGTAGGGACAGTCTGAACGATGTGCCGGTGAGCTGCTGTGTTTGTGGATGGTCATTGATGTGGCTAATAATGGGTTAGGATGATGGGACTCTGTGGATTCACTCCGTACCCCAGGAGATTGTGAACAGTGTTTCAGATACCGAGAAGAAACGACAGGAAGCGATTAATGAGGTCATTTACACGGAGCGCGATTTCGTGCGTGATATGGAATACTTGCGTGATGTGAGTTTCCCATCCTTGTCATGATATCTCACACACTCAAACTTCGCAGTCCTGGATTAACCGCATCAAAGAGGCCGACGTGATCCCAGCTGCACGGCTGACCGACTTCTTGGCTCAGGTATTTTGGAACGTGCACGATATCCTAGCAGTCAATACACGGCTACGCGATGCAC